TTATTTTACAGTTAAAGTATACAGTATGTTTATCATATAAAGTCTAATGTTACAACTAATCGGGGATCCCTTTAAGTCATCTTAAAAAAACACCAAAATAACCCAAAATACAAGCCAGAAAACACAAAACACAAAGGTGTCAAAAGTATTGACGTAGGGGTCTCTGCAGTCAACAAGTGGGGGTTTCTTGGATGTGGATGTAGTTTGGGTAAGCTGTGATTGGTCAGCTGGACTTATGGGAGAAGTAAAAAATATGAAGCATTATTTTTCCTTTGGCTGCTCCTTTCTGCCTGCCATGAAACTTTTCTTTTTTTTTTTGGTAAGTGGATGTCTTTCTGGAAGAAGATGCTACCTGGGTTCAAACCTGCAGCCTTAGTATTATGAGACTGCAGCACTAACCACCAATCCACCCCCGCCCTGCCTCTGTAGCATTTAATCAACATTAAATCAATCGTTTTAAAGTGGAAATTGTATTGAAAAAAAAACCACCCAGTTTGTAGAATACATCTTTTTAGTATGTGAATAGTTGGCCCAGCAGAAACTAAAAGATGAAATAAAATCCACTTCCAGGGCATTCTCTGAGGGTGCAGTAATCTACAGCCTAACACACTGTGAGCGTGCATGTTATTTATGGCATCTTTTAGCCAGTGAGCTTTATACTCTCACCCATCTCTGTTTCTCCTTACTGTTTCTTCATCCCCCTCCAGCAGAATCCATTCGCTCTCCTCCCGATTCTCCCAGGTTTGTTTCATTCTCCCTGCCTCTTTTTCCACACGACTATCGGTCTGCGCGCGACAAGCGGACGCTCGCCGTGAAAATATGCTCTTTTAAAGTCGTTGCTTTCTTTATCTTTACCCCAACAGATCCACACGAATTCAGCTCTTTCTTTTTTCTTTCTTCTTTTTTTTCCTCGAGTCCCACATTCTAGCTTTCACGCACTTTCCTCTGAATCATTTAATATCCAATATATCAACGTGTCAGGAAGATTAATATGATTTGCTTTGTGAAATGTGCAGCCGTACAGTATGTGCTGCTGTAAGGTTTTTTTTTCATAATGACATAGCTGACTTGAAATTATTTCATACAAACTCTAATCGACTGCTCAAAAAGCATCTGCCGCAGAGAGAAGTGGGGGAAAAAACACAGAAARGATGATCTTATATGCACATTTGTACTGGRGTGACCCAAGATGTATGTGCTTTAGTGGGATGAAGCTGCATTTGTGTGCTACTAGTGAGTATTTGCTTGCACAGCATTTAAACTGGAATCTTTTTAAATCCTCTAACTTTAAATTTCATAATTATTCCTTATAATTAGATACTGTGAATTCTTTTAAGTGCGTTCCGCTTTCAGTTGAATTGGGAACTGGTTCCTCTTTCTATGTAATTTTTTATTTTTTAATTTTTTTGCCCCACATTGCCTCATGTTTGCAGTCTCCAGGAAGAGAAGCTGTGTTTGGAGAAGGAGGTTCAAACAAAACCTGCTGTAAGTTCCCTCCTGCACCAAAAAGTTCCAGTTTAAGTTGCACAAACTACCTTTTTATAATAGCTATCTTGAAGCATGGAAGCTTTACTTTAAGCTTCGATATGTCCTTTTAAGAATTTGCTACTGTTACATCAGTCTATAGTTTTAATGTGGACAAGTTTTAATATGTTTTACAAGAAAAGAGAAAACTTCTATCTCAAACATTCATGTGTTATATTTTTAATATATTTGACTTTCTATGTGTTTTACTGAAGGGAAACCAAAAAAAATGTTTGATTATTGGCCCATTATATTACACTGCTAGTATCCGCTGTGGTGCAGCATTCCACGATGCTGCAGAGCATATTACCTCTGCATTACTTTAGTCTGTGAGAACTCCATCACAGTGAAGCGTTTTCAAATCTTATCAAGCTTCACTGCATTGTTTTTTTTTTTGACACATCAGCAATAAAAACACCAGCTTTTTAAAAAAACAACAACATAAAATCAGATTTGCGGAGAAAACAATAACCTAAGACCCTTGAGTGAATCTCAAACTCTGTAAAATCTGTTGCCTGTGCTGCTGAAGGATTTTCAGTCTGAGCTCTGCATTATTTGTGGAATAAATTTAGT